GAGGCAGTAAAAGGTTGGCAGTGCCTATAGTTTTTTCACCTCGGCGCTAGATCCACCTGCACTCGCCGTCGCCTTTTTTCGCTAAAGTCGCAGCTGTTCTGCATTCGAGCTCAATTGGGGGGGGGAGCCCGATCACAAATAAGACATTGGTTTTTATCTTTGCAGAGCGCTACATGGCATGAGCGCCATGTAGCGCTCTGAAAAGGCTGTAGCTTGGAGGAGGAGTGATTCCCTCCTCCTAAGGCAAGCTCAGCCTCAGCATCGCATTGATAACCCTTGTGCCCTACGCTAACGTTCCTGCTAAAAATGAATGTCATATCAATAATAAGGACAGCGAATAACCCTAGTATCCAAGTTCCCATCAATTTGGGTGGAAGAGGTGATAGCACCAAATTGGCGCCCATTGGCGCCAGTTGGCGCTGGGACCTGTAGTGAACGTCATATTCGTGACCAGACCAACAAAAAGCCCTAGTATGTAACTTTTCCTGAAGTTTGGTGAAAAAAGGTAGTGGTGAGTTGGCGCGGCACCATTCTGGCGCCCCGGTTTTGATGAAAAAAGTGGTGGCGCCAAATTGGCGCCTAATGGTGCCAAATGGAGTCAAACACCGCCGGCGCCAGAAACGGACGTCACATTCGTGATCGGGGCACTGAGTAACCCCTACCGGCAATTTTTCAGCAGAAATTTTTCTAGAGGTTTTGGGCTCAGGTGCTGCTAGTTGAATCGTGCCTGGGACCCTTATATCTGAAGATCTCGTTGGTCCACTATTTGCATAAATTAACAAAGGTATGAAGACTTGTACCACTGGGAAAAGTTCCTCGAAGAACTCGAACTGTTTCTAAAAATTTCATCAAAAGCCCGTCCGCCACATATGGTGGACATGGTCCGAAGTGGACATTTCGGTGTCCACCACCAGTGGCGGACATTGTCACGAATGGGTTAAGGGACGCCACCTCGTCATCACTGCCCTCCAGCCCAGTCCCTTTCTCGCGCACTTTTGTGCGGAGAAAATGGCTTTCTACTGCTGTTGCTGACCCACTCATCTAGCGCATAGCAAGGACCGGGATCCGCAGAGGCGAGTGCACAGTTTTTCTCTAAATCTTCTACCAACATCTTGCTATCAAGGAACGGATACGCCTTTTGCGACACATTCCGTGCTCGCCGTGTGGGAGGAGTCACCTGAAACTTTTGCTTTCCCCAGTGGTTCGCTTCTACTCACCGTCATCTTCAAAGCGGTCCATCAATAAGAAGCGTGCACTCATTTGAGTGGCTCCGCCTGCCCGCCTACGCTCCGCCAACTGGTACGAAAGTAAGTTTCACGCGTACGCGCTAGTGAAGCAAATATAACTATGAATAGTCGTCCTTGGAAAAAAAGCTTAACACATACACTAGCATATTTGATTATTCTGCTTGTCGGCAGCTTCTGATCGCATAGTCTCGGCCATTTCCTGTAGCCGAGCGTCATCGTAATAGCCGAGGAACGACACATCACTAGGGATCGCTTCCAACGCATTTGTCCTCCACGATCTCAAATCAGATTTTCTTCTCCGCCGATCTTTTCCCTCGGCTTTGTCACTACGATCCGCTTTTTGCTTCTTCGTTCCTGGGAACATCGTGTATTGCCCTCCTCCCATTGCACCTGCTAGAGCTGGATTTTCGGTCCTAAAAAACTTCGAATATTCCCGAGTATCAGACTGAGCAATGACCATTGGAGGAATTCTTACGGCGGTGTTCTCATTGCCAGTTCTGCTCGTGCCCGTTCTACGCACTCCTTGTTGCAACATCCGCGAGAACCTTAATAGTAATGCTGCTCTTCGCAACATACCGGACCTAATGACTCTGCCCAATTGTCTTAACTCTCACCATCGTTTGTGAGAGAAATACTTTCTTCGTTTTCATAGCATCTGAAGCAAATATTGTGATCACAGAGGCCAAACTGAATTATGTAATCTTCGGGAGCCCATGTGTTACATGCTCCATCACATTGAATGAGACGTGGTAGAAGAACTTCAGCTGAAACAATCATCGATTAAGCTTAATGTACTCTTCGTCTAATAAGGAGATGCTGCAGCGGCAAGAGGCGCAGCCGTGATCTGAGCTACCACGAGATTGAATCTCTCTCAGATCGGACCGTTCACCCCCCTTTAGGCTTCAAGTGCGATCTCGACAAACTTTGCCACAGTCAGTGCACATTAACGTTACGGATTCCTCCAACGGGGAGGTCATATTTGGCCGCCGTGGGAGGGTCGTATTTGGTCTGAGAAACTTTTTTGATAGTTGGTTTCCCTTTTTCACGGACTCTATAAGGGGGGGGGGGTCGTGATTCCCGGAAAATCTCATCAGCGCCAGGACTGCCTTGCTCTGAAGACAGCTCCCATAACCGTTCTTTGCAGGCTGTAGGCCAGAGCATCATTAGGTCATGTGGGTCATGCCCCCCTCCCCCACTCGACAGGCGTATCGGAGTATCAGAGGAGAAAACTAGGGGGGGGGGTCGTAGCAAGCCACCTGTCAGCTCCTAGGTGGTCGCACGGACTCGCCCAAACTCCTTCTCCGACATTAAAAAGAAGCAGAGCCCTCGTGAGGAAGTCAGAATGTTCGTCAGTACCGTCAATTTCTCCGTCGATGCACCTGTCGAGTGGGGGAGCATGACCCACATCGCGGAATATGTCTTTTCTTATTGCGGAATATGTCTTTTACGCAGAAAACTGTGGGTAAAGTGTTTTACTAGGCTATAGAGTGAATGCGTCCAGCATGTAGGAAATCTGTTTGCTTGCTTGCTCAAGGGATATGTGGCATCTGCTAACAACGCACGCACGACTAAGCAAATTGACCCCATCTTAAGGCGTTGTGACTCCCTACTGCCGCTACTCCTCTCTTTGTGTCTTGCTTCCTCACAACTAGGTGCCAAAACAAATAATCTCTGTTCATCTAGGCTCTGAGCTTGGCGGCAAGCGGGCACTTGAGGGTGGCATGATGGCGACTCATGACATCCATCCATTTGACATGTGGATGCACGCTATAGAATAGAGACATCCCGATTTCCGACTGGTATAGTTGGACGTAATGTTAAAGCTCATTCTCGCTAGCACACCACTTTATTGCGTTCGATTCCCGTTTTGTTTTATTCGAGCCCCAATTGTAACGGCATTTCAACTGGCTTCTGCAGTAAAGTCTTACACCGATGAATTTGCTCAGTATGCTAAACACAGGTGAGGGTGCTCAACATGCCTTGGTTGATTAGGCTCCTGGACTGAAATGCAAAAGCATTGGCGGCATACAACAAGGCGGCCACAGTCGAAGGGTATAGCACGCGCGCTTTTCTCGTCCCACTAACGGGTCGGGCAGCCCGCTGTGAACAGAAGAGTGATCCTTTCAACTCGCTTTAAGGATCTCAACTACGACGCGTTCTGTTTTCTCATCATTTATTGGTTATATCCTTGTCGGGAGCATTTTATTCTTTGTCCGCTATCAGAAGGGTACCGGATGCGCCATACCTATCGTCGGTATCAGTCCATGCGACAGTGTAGTGAAACGTGATCCTGCGGACGAAACACTCTATTTCACGCTGTAATCAATTTCAACTGAATCTTACATTGATGTGACTGGATCCTTGTCTACACTGTAGCCAATCTGCCGTAACTTTTGCTGCTAGGCTTTTGCTTTCCGTGGCGAATCCAGTAGGAAGGTGAATGGCTTAGAGACGAAGCCCTCCTCACGACCCCTCTAAAATACTGGCCGGCCAAGAGGCCGTTTTCCGATGGTCCGCGCCTGTAAACATGACACACTCTGAACACGAAAACAGTAGTTTGTTTTTTTCGCTATTGAACATTTCGTAAGCTATGAAGCGTAGCCGGGAGGTACAGTCGTCATCGCAGCGCCCGCGGCTTGACTACCGGCTGGCAAGGATCGCAACGCAAGTTGTGTGGACGCGTACATTTCCGGCGGCTGATCAACTGTTCCCAGCGCTAATCTTGGAGCCATTTTTTCGCCTGATTTCCGCGTTTGGTTTTTCTACTTTATTGAAAGAATTAGCAGTTTTGATATATATTGTCCTTGATGAAATACAGTATAGGCGTGAAGAAATCTTTTATTTTGAGTATATCTGTACACAGAGTGCTTTATTGGCGATTTTTCGTCAGGTATTTTGTGTCAATTGCACATGGCTTAACTGTATTAATTTTGTCGCACGATAATAACAGAGAGAGGTATCATAAAGCGCACTCTTACCTCTGTTGAATGGATCAAAGGAGACACGAAGAAATATCTCAAAATTAAAAGCAGCCATAACATGTCCGTCAATAAGGGAGAGACATGGCTAAAATAGGCCCCCCTTTTGAACGCAGCCTGATCGCTCGTCGCATCGCTCCGAGTCCGCGCAGCCCGTCGCGACCCTTGCCGTCCCTAATCAAGATCTCCGCGACAGAAATGACGACGCCTGTAGAAACGTTCCCGTGATATCCATTCTGGGAGGATTTTTAGAATTGCTCTGCACATCTTAGCTTACCGCCCTTCTGCTCAGACATACGGTGACAAGGGTAGTTGTCCATCAGCCGTACCCACCTTTCCGTGCTCAGCAATTCGTGTAGGGGGCGGAGGAATAGAGGCTAATGCATGTCCTCTGTCGCTCCGCCCACTATTGGGATTTCTACTCCAGTATCGCTAACCAATTGCCAATGAAACAATTAACGGGAAGGCGTTAATTTCAAAAGTGGAAATTTTACACTCAATGTATGAACTAAACGCCTCGCTGTTGTGCGCGACGCAGAAAGTGTTTAGATTTTTGAATACGCCCCTTCTCAATATAGTACGCTCCGGTACATCATTTCTTGCAGGTGTCAACGAAACTTGTCTTTTCGTCCGTGCCATCTGGGCTGACTCCGAAATATCTCTATAACTTTCGCGAATACTAGTCAGCCCGCCAAATTAGCCGTCATGTGTTCCCACTGTTGACTCTTGCTGCTCACCCACCACAACTTTCACCCATCGCCCATGAAGCGTCCAGCTGGTAGGGCACTTCATGAGTTGCGGATTTTGGTCGAGTCCATGCCCCACCCTTATTCCTGAAAGATGCTCTGATAAGCCCCCCCTCCCTCTTTTTTGTCGTTCGGTTGCTTGGGTTTTTCGGCGAGTACTCTGCCGCCTGGGGAAAGTTTTCGGACCCTCCCCCCCCTTGCTCAACAACGAGCGAATACGATCTTTTCCAACTCCCATGCCCACCGTCGTGACACTCCGTAGAAGCAAGCAAATCAACTCTCAGAAACATTTTTTTCTGCAGACCACCGACTCCCCACTTGGGAATCCTCAACGGTGATGAATGTGCCTGACTACGACCTACTGCACCTGCATCCATTACAGCAGTGGGCCACGCTCCAGTGGCCCTTACTAAGGTTGTTGACCCTCCGACCAGATAATCGTCGATAATACGTGATAAAGTCGCCATATTGCTGCTCGTTCCTGGCCATTTCTCTAATTGATCAACATGTCCCGCCGCCATACATAGGGAATCCAGCTGGTCTGACGGTCGCCCCAATGTGATTCTCTACAGATAAGGCGACAGGAAAACGTAGAAGCCAACGAGGCACGGAGCTTCTACGTTTGCCCCATAATGTGGAGGAAACCGCTTGATAGACCGTAAAGGTGCAGGAACTCTACCTTATGCGTGTTGCCACTGGGAGACGGGCAAGAGAATCTTAAACTGCCGCTTCGTCGCGCGCGGCAATGGGCGCGACGTTTTCTTGATTTGCACTACCCTTTCGACTGAAGCATCGGATTTCATGTAGACAAGGACATGGTAGACACTTATGTCTATTTTTGGTCATACATTGTCTATTCTCGACCAATACCACCTAAAATCGTCGTCATTAGCGGGCGCGACGTCGCACGCGACGCCCACTGGCGCGGCGAATTACGATTCTTTTGTCACATACCCGTTACTACTTACTGATCTATTCAGGCATACTAAACACTTGTGACTGAAAAAGAAACGTAATCAGCATGGTGTGGGCGAAGTTTGCACAGATGACGTGTGCTTCTCTATGTGTTTTCTGTTTGAAAACTCAAAACCTCATTTCCTTGGGTACCCGACTTTTTCGACGGTTGACGCATTTCAGCCAACCATGTCGTCATTTCCTGCTAGTCTTGCAAAGCATTCTGCACTATGCTAGTCGAATTAGATTCAAATGAAAGTTCAAGAGGGTGTTTTCAAGGAGAACTGCACAAAAACGCCGAACGTACTGACCCATCAGAAGACATGATGAACGAGCGGCCCGCCCACCGGCTTGGCTTAATTCAAAATGAACCTCATTCATATCCCACTACCAGCCGATAATGTATTTATAAGACTAGCTCAAAATGATGTCATTTCTCATATAAGCTCATCTAGCTCACTTCCCCATCGCCGGTGTATTCGTTCAATTGTCACTCATCAATCATAGCGCCTCAGATGGGTGAACAGGAAATATTCTATCACGTTCCCCTTCCTCCTCCTTTCATACGCCTCCTTCTTGATTCCCCAGCTCAACCGTTTCTTTTCAGTGTAGTTCCTGGCACTGTTCTAGTATGATAAGAGAGCAGGGCACGCCTCACAGTTCATATAATGGCGCACGAAGAGGACTCGACCAAGAAGTTATGAGCGCAGTCTGAGTGAGCAGATCCCGATCCAAGCATGTGCATGAGGGATGTAGGTAGCATGATAGAACCTTGACGCACCCTTCCCTCTCTACACTAAGTTCTTACACA